AATAGTTTTAAATTAAAAAAAAATTAAAATAAATAAAATTTTAAAAAATAATAATAAAAACTTTTTTATTAGAAATATATTGTTATATATTTGCTTATTTTCTTACATATCTATACTTTTCTGAGAAATCTTTCCCATATTTCTCAATTTGAAAACTCAGATGCATTGAACTCTTCGGATACTATAGTAGATGCATTTAGTTACAAATATACAAACTCTTTTCAATACCGATAATGGTGGATACTCACAATAAACGATATCAGCTAACGTGTGCAAGGGGTGTTTCTTACAGCAGCCCAGCTTATTTCAATAGAACGCACTATATCAACTGCACAATGGCAGGTTTCAATAGCAACAGTTTCAATAACAACAAATAGAACTTTTCCTTGCAAATAAGAGATCCCAAATATACAATCGGACCCGTAGAATTCAACTTTTGATTTCTTCCCAATTTTTAAGTTCAACTTATTTTCTACCCAAAATGTTATTTATAATAATAATATTAATAATAATAATAATAATCTATATTCGTTATTTGTTTTCTGTTGTGGAATGCAAACTTTTATTTTTACAGGAAGAGTTTCATTGAATTGCCAAGATCTAAATATTGAAGTTTTTAAGCCTTTAATCCAACTCTGCTTGCAATTTTGTATAAAATTCGACCGGAGAGTTAAAGAGATTTACAATTGGATAAACAAATCCATTTAATTCAACATTGTAATGAAAACAAGAGTTTAATTAACTGAAGAAATGATCAGTGCACAGACTAACTTCAATTTTCAGTTAACTAAATTTTAAAACATTGTTTTGTTTCTTTTTTTTTAAACTACGCTTATACGATAACAACGAAATGCATAACACTTCGGAAACTTTTATCATTTAGTATATAAAAAGTGTTTTATACAAGTGAGGAAATTTAAGCTGCAAATAATTTTGTTGCACTTTTAATTAAAACTATAAAATGTTTTACATAAATATGACATCTAAAATCATTTAACTATAAAAATTAAGTTATCATAAAGTAATTAAACTTTTTATAAATTCGAGAACTTTAAATTAAAGTAATTTCCTGAAGATTAAATCCAATAATCTTTCATATTTTTATAAAAATAAATTTTAAACTTTTTTAAATGTAAATGATAAATATTAAAATTTCCAATAATTTTTTCATCAGAAAATATTTAAAATTTATTTTAAACAATTAATGTTAACTCAAAATATTTAAAATAAATTTTAACCTTAAATATTAAATATTTATATAAGAATAATTATTGCCATTAAATGAAGCTGAAGTTTTATTTATAAACGATATAAGTAGGATAAATGTACTGTACATAATTTTTTTATATTGTTTATTTGACAAAAAAAATTAGTGAAAAATAAAAATAAATTAAGGAATTTAATTTTTAAAATAGCATTTAATTATAAAATAAGATTTTTTATTACCAAGTTAAATAAAGAAAGAATAAATTTTAATGTTTATAATAAATGTATTTATTATAAACTTTTTTTAACAGCAATAGNTAGTAAAATAATTTTTAAATACAAATTATAATATATTTAACTAAACATATTATAAATTATATTATATTTTAAATTTTTATTATATTGTTATATAGGCCTAATAAATAATTTGAAAGAAAATTCTTTAGCGAAATATCCAATTATTTCCTGTATTAAATATAATTTGTTAATAAATATTTAAATTTCATGATATACAAAATCAGTAAATGGTAAAAATAAAAATATTAATGTTAGAATTTTATTTATTTATTAAAAAAATGAATCGATAAAATGAATTATACTCTATTGAAATTAATATAATAGGATGCCAATTTAAATAATTCGAATAAAATTATCATAAGAATTTCGGAGACAATTTATTTTCATTTAATATTGAAGTTAATAAAATAAATTTTAAATCTAAAAATCTTTAAATAGTAATAAGCTTAAAATCATATTTAAAATATAAATGATTTAGACTTATCTGTTAGTATACGAAACGAATATAGATTAATATTTTTCTAAATACTTTTAATGCTTCCAAATGCGACTAAAAGCTTTTTACTTATCTTTAGATGTATAAATTTATTAAATTTTAAAAATCATGCTACAGTCGCGAAAAAAATACACTGCTTCGTATTAAGGTGTTTATATCTCGCGAATTGTTTTAATATTTATCACAGAAAAAAATTTCTTTTTATTTGCATTCCGCGAAGGTAAACTGTGGTTGCATGTGCTGACATGCTTAATGGTTCCTTTTACACAAACAACCGAAAAGGCAAACAAGTCTACCCCAAGCACTGACTTTGTCTACGATGATCCGATCTTTGTGAAGAGAATTGCTTTAAAAGAATTATCAAATTACTTTCTGATGAAAAGTTTTCCGGTATTTTCAATTTTACACATTGATCGTATTACTTGGTAAGAATAATGCTTTTTCATAAACATTGAACGCTTGTGACAAATTATTTCCAATTTCCTATTTTGCTTCTCCTTTTCATCGCTTCAAATACACGGAAATATTTTTATTGAACACGTCCGACTTCCCTTACAAATATAATTACTATTTTTTTTTAATAATAAAACATCAATTTTTTGAATAAAATTTGTAAATATCGACACAGTGTTAATTTGAAAATCCAATTTAAATAGTTCTTAAAATTAGAATTTTTTATTTCATCTGATAAGTCAAAAAATAATAATAATTAAAAAAAACTCTAATATACTAAATATATCAACAAATTCACGACGTTTGTAAATACACAGTAAACGTTAAAATTATTTGTAAGCTAGTGTATTATTTGTAAATTATATAAGGAGATGTAATCTTTATCCAATAAGTAGGCTACAGTTTTCTATCCAGTAAGCGAAACTCGTTCAGTAAATAACTATTTCCATCCTCAGTTCTATTAGACACGATCTTTGACGCCGCTATACACTTCATTTACGAATGTTATGTAAAAGCGTATTGTTTTACACGACGAATCACGTAACAACAGATGTTGGCGTGTTAACTAGTAATATACAGACCAGAGATTTAGAGAATGACAATCATAATAATACTCATAATTACGATGTTTTTCATGCATTCGTGTCAGTACAAACGCTATGTTATAACCTGATAACTACATTTAGACGGTTCTTCCATTTCCGTTTTCTTTTTCCTTAATTTTCCTATATTGTTCTAGATCTATAACTAGTTTTCTTAAGTACTAAATTTCTCTTTAACGATCGTAAACGTGTCCGATAGCGACAGTCACATGACAATGGCAGAGATAGGGAAAACGTAAGGGAAGAAAAAAGAGAGGAGAATGGCAGACTGGTATAGCCACCTTCTTTCAATCACAATATACAGTCGCTTCACGTAGATTCGACCGTATTCTAACCGAGTGAAGCCAGTAAACCTATCATCAAGAGCGTTTGGGAAGGCCGAGCGTGTCTGCACGTAGGTGAGGTCTACCGGGCCTACTGCAGATTCGCTATTCTACTGCTAGACACACATATTGAGCTTATATTACATTTCCTGACGAAGTCCGAAGATGACACGTTGGGGAAAAATGTGTTTTTGCTATCTTTCGATTTTGAACTTGTCTCTCACGTGGAATGTTACTGAACGTGAAAAGAAAATTTTGCAAAATTTAGGAACCGTATATATACACTATATTTTCTTTTGTTTCTTTCAAAGCAACCATTAAGAAATTAACAACATAAAAATCTCGTATCAGAGAAGTTTTAAAAAAATTTCAGAAAACTGTTAACTGTTGAATTATAGAATTTTATTATTTCCTGTAAGGTTACTCGATACTTTAATAAATAAATTTAGATAAAAATAAAGATAAAATAAATCAATAAATAACATTAACCTTTTGATGTTGTTTATTTTAAATCTATATTATATTCCCTACGAAGAAGTACTGTTTAGAAATCAATAATGTAAACAGAAAAATACGAGCAATTA